CAGACATATAGATCAGTGGAATAGAATAGAGAGTCCAGAAATTAGCCCGAACCAATATGCTCAATTAATTTTTGACAAAGGAGGCATGAACATACAATGGAGCCAAGATAGTCTCTTCAATAAATGGTGTTGGGAAAATTGGACAGATATATGCAAGAAAATGAAACTAGACCACCAACTTACACCATACACAAGAATAAACTCAAAATGGATAAAGGACTTAAATGTACGACAGGAAACCATAAAAATTCTAGAAGAATCCAAAGGCAACAAAATCTCAGACATATGCCAAAGCAATTTCTTCACTGATACAGCTCCTAGGGCAGTTGAAACTAAAGAGAAAATGAACAAATGGGACTACATCAAAATAAAAAGCTTCTGCACAGCAAAAGAAACCATCAACAAAACAACAAGAAAACCCACTTCGTGGGAAAACATATTTGCCAACGTCATATCTGATAAGGGCTTAATTTCCAAAATTTATAGGGAACTCATACAACTTAACAAAAAGAAGATAAACAATCCAATCAAAAAATGGGCAAAGGATCTAAATAGACACCTTTCAAAAGAGGACATTCAGAAAGCCAAGAGACATATGAAAACATGCTCAAAGTCACTAATCATCCGAGAGATGCAAATCAAAACAACAATGAGGTACCATCTCACACCTGTCAGAATGGCCATCATCAACAAATCAACAAACGACAAGTGCTGGAGAGGATGTGGAGAAAAAGGAACACTTGTGCACTGCTGGTGGGAATGCAGACTGGTGCAGCCACTATGGAAGGCAGTATGGAGTTTCCTCAAAAAATTGGAAATGGAACTCCCATTCGACCCAGTGATCCCACTTCTAGGAATATATCCCAAGAAACCAGAAACACCAATCAGAAAGGATATATGCACCCCTATGTTCATAGCAGCACAATTCACCATAGCTAAGATCTGGAAACAGCCTAAGTGCCCATCAGTAGATGAATGGATTAGAAAACTGTGGTACATCTACACGATGGAATACTATGCTGCTGTAAGAAAGAAGGAACTCTTACCATTTGCAACAGCATGGATGGAACTGGAGAGCATTATGCTAAGTGAAACAAGCCAGTCAATGAAGGAAAAATACCACATGATCTCACTCATTCATGGATAATAAAGACCATTACAAACTTTTGAACAATAATAGATACAGAGGCAGAGCTGCCTCAAACTGATTGTCAAACTGCAGTGGGAAGGCCAGGGAAGGTTGGGGGACAGGAGGGAGGGGAGTAAGAGATCAACTGAAGGACTTGTATGCATCCATATAACCATAACTAATGGACATAAGACACTGGGGGGTAAGGGAGGGCAGGGGTTTGTCAAGGGCGGGGGGGGGGGGAAAGGACACTTATGTAATACCCTTTGTAATACTTTTAGAGAAAAAAAAAACACAAAAAAACAAAAAAACAAAAAAAAAACATTGATGAGAGAGAAACATTGATCAGCTGCCTACTGCACACTCCCTACTGGGTATGTGCCCGCAACCAAGGTACATGCCCTTGACCGGAATCAAACCCGGGACCCTTGAGTCCTCAGGCCAGTGCTCTAACTGAGCCAAACCGGTTATGGCTAAAGCAGTGAGCTTTTGTCCTGAAGGTTTTCTATCCCTATCCCTTGATTTTTGTTTTTGTTTTTTTATCAGCTTTCCAGGTACATTTGTATATGCTGATGCATCAAAATGAGTGTATGGCGGAGTTTGGAATTATTCTTTGATCTGTTTTACTTTTATCTGAGGTCTGTCTGGCTTTAATGGGTTTTTGTTATTTGTTCCCTGACTTCATCTACCCTTGGGTTTAGCTGGCACAAATGGCTTTACTGGATCTTTGTGCTCTACTTCCAAGACCAGGATGATGTAAGCTATGTATCCTCTAGTTAGAGAGGAGAATATAAACCATTTGCTCTCAAGTGTCCTTGGTTGGTAAAAATAAAGTTTTGTGATTCGCAAGCTGGCTGCAAGACACCCAAACAGACTGATCTTATTTAATTTTCTTGTCTCAGTTTCCCCATCCCACTTTCCCAGGAATTTTCCTAGCTTCTTATTATCCTGCCTCACATGGACAACAGAACCATCTTGCTGGAGAAGCCTGCTGCTTCACTAACCAGGGGCTCAGAGAAGTGGACTAAACTAATGTGCATCAACAGTGGTGCTAACACTGATATATGAAGGATTTCTCATTTGAATTGTCCTAAATTGAGCCTGTGAAATCTCCATAATATATTATTTTATGATTATGCCATTTTCTAGCTTCTTCAGCTTGTTGGCATTGTGGGGATTGGTGGGGAATGATGGGAGGATGCTTCTGGTTAGCTGTCACTGCATAACAAACCATCCCGAAGCCTAGTGGTTTAAAGCAACAAAAATCATTTATTTTTCTTTTGAAACCTGGGCAGGATGCAGTGGGGATGGCCCATCCTTGTTCTTTGCAGCTTCATCTGAGGTGGCTCGGTTGGCAGCTGGAGAATCTGCTTCCATGTTGCCTCACTTGCATGGCTGGCAAGTTGGTTCTGCTGGCAGATGGAAGAGCAGCCAGGGGAGTGCGCCAGTGATTTCATGTCCTCTGCATGTGGACTCGATGGACAACTTGGGCTTCCTCATCACATGGTGGGCAAGGGCCAAGGGCACATACTCCAGAGAGCATGGAGGCATCCTCCCTATCTAACTTTAGAAGTCACAGCCATCAATTATTTGCCAAATCAGTCACAAAGTCCATGGAATTGCAAGGCAGTGGCACAGACCCATATAACTCAACAAAAGGAAAAGCAAGCTCAGATAATAAGAAGAATAGGTTGGATAGAAGATACTGTTATAACCTTTTTTTTTGAAAATACAATCTACTACATTAACATATCATGGCAAATTAAAAAGAAAAAAAGAAAATATACACTATTTGAAAAACCTATGCCATAGACTTGAAAGCATATTTCTAATCCTTTGTACAATATCTGCAAATATATTCTTTTCAGCTTGTTCCCTTATATCTTTAATTCGTTCTTCATACTTCATCTTTAGGACTTTTATTTTTTCCTCTTTTTCTTCCTGTGATATTTTTCCCTGATCACATTCCTTTTCTGTTAGTTTAATTTCCTTATCCAATTGCTCAGCATAGATTTTCTTCAAGGCTTCTGCCTGGCGTTTCAGCTTTTCATTTGTGTCCTTGTATATGGCATCAGAAAAGTGAGCCCCTTCATTCTTCCACACCATTTCCTCTATCAGCTCCACCAGCTCCTGCAATTGAGCTTCCTTCTCAGCCTTATCTGCAGTCTTGTTATTGAAGGCACAGCAGCGGGACCCACACTCCTGGATGATGTTTTGTAGGTTCACATCTGATTCGTCTAAAAAGTCACTCAGTGTCTTACCATCCAAATCATCTTTGCGAGTGAACAACAAGATCATGTGCTTCATGGCCGCCACCCCAAAGATGGCCTTGATCAATGCAACCGTTCTCTGCTCCTCCTCCGTGTAGCGGCCCAGCTGTAGTACCAGGATGATGGCATGAGGCCCAGGGCAGGAGAAGAGGACACACCTGCTGATTTCCTCACAGGTAGTCTGCAGTTTCTCCTTGGTGTCAAAGAGCCCTGGGGTGTCCACAACAAGAAGGTTCCTCCCCTTCCAGTGTCGCACTTCTTTCTGACATTCCTTGGTAACAGCGTGGGGAGCAATTTTAGAATCATATTTTCTGCTCCCAATGATGGTGTTTCCTGTTGCACTTTTCCCACTTCCCGTTTTCCCCACCAGAACAATCCTCAGAGTGTTGTCCTGAATACCAGCCATGTTTGTTTCAAGAGGTTCTGTGCTTTAGGCTTCCACAAGACCTTATGAAGGGAGGAGAGTGGAGAAAAGTCAACTTAGCTAAGTGGGAACCATTCCCAACCCCTTTTCTTCGTTCTTTTCCTCCATGAAAATTTGTAATGATCTATTACTCATTACAAGAATGGAGAGATGACACAGTTCAATTATTATGGAAGAAATAATAGAGCAGAGTCTCCCCATAAAAGAGTACAAGGTCCAGATCCTTTCACAGGGGAACTCACTTCAGGCTTTAAGGATCTGATCATCTCAATGCGATGTGAGCTATTTCTGGTCATATTAAAAAAAGAGGGGAATCTTTCAATTCTTATATGAATCAAGTGTTATAGTGATCCCAAAGGCTACCAAAGACTTCACCAATAAGTAAAGCTAAAGATGTGTCTCATTTGGAAATATTAGTACAAACTTTTTAAATAAATTATTTGACACTAAAAAAGTAATACCCCATGATTTTATGATTTATTTCAGAAATACTAGGATGATGCATTATGGGAATTTTGATCATAAGCTTTTCCCCTATAAGTGATAAAAAGTGGATTATAAAGTCTTTGTATGAAGAAAAAAATAGATACTTCCCTAACATGATTTTATATAACTAAAGTTAATTTTTTGGGTCTGTATCTTTTTTCATGCAAGTGATAAACAGTGGCTTATAAAGTTAAGTATCACATTATAAACTTCAAATAATGGATTATAAGGTTCATTTGGATGAATGAAAAAGAAAGTTATCTGTACCTATTAAGAAAAACAGCCCCAGGCGTGGCTCAGTGGTTGAGCATCAACCTATGATCCAGGAGGCCACAGTTCGAATCCCGGTCAGGGCACATGCCTGGGTTGTAGGCTCAATCCCCAGTGAGGGGCATGCAGGAAGCAGCCGATCAAGGATTCTCTCTCATCATTGATATTTCTATCTCTCACTCCCTCTCCCTTCTTCTCTGAAATCAATAAAAATATATTAAAAAAAAAACAACAAGAAGGGAGGACTAGCTCTTTCTGGAGTCAAGCATCATAGTTTCTATGATTAAAGCAGTATGATGTTGGTTCATGGATAGAGAGAACAGTGAAATAAAAGCAGAAAATTCAGAAATAGACCAAATTAATCAGACTCTATTCATTTATATTCCATTCCATTATGTTACAGTTAGATTCAGTACGGCAGCATCTCACATCAATGGGAGGAAGATGGACTAATAAAGCAGCTTTGGGGTAACTGTAAACCATTTGGAAAAAGATAAAACTACATTTATTCCCTCATGCCATTCAAATTCCAGATCGATTAGAAGTTTAAATGTAAAAAACTAATCCATATAAACAATAGAAAAAAACATGGGTAATTTTTTTTTGTAAAATAGGGAAAATATTTATAAGATTTGAAAAAGAATAAGGAAAAGGATTAATAAGTATGATTACATGAAAATCTCACACATATGTAGGATAAAAAAATCATAGACAAAATAAGCAAAAATGCCACACCAGAGAAAGAAACATTTTCCAACTTATATTAAAGGGGTGAATATTTCTGTTATAGGTGTAAAAGATCAATCGAAGGACTTATATGTATGCATATAAACATAGCAAGTGGACACAAGACACTGAGGGTTTGGGTAAGAGCTTGTGCCAGGATAGGGGAGACCAGGGGAAGGTCAACGGGGAAAAGAAGAAGACATATGTACTACTATTTGTAATACTTTAAAAAAGAAAATAAAATTTAAAAAATTTAAGAAGAACAGAAACAAAAACCCTACAACTCAATAGAAAATGGACCAAGATATAGGAATAAACACCCAGAGAAAAAGAAATTAAAGTGTGTCTTGAATATATCAAAATATATTAACATACACTCATAATAGGGAAAATAAATTAAAGCACAAAAAGTAAAATAAATTAAAATTACATCTCTATTTATGAGGTGAGATACTATTTCTCACCTCCAGGTTTGGCAACAATTTAAACATTTGCTGGCCTAATCTTTAGGTAAAGGTATGGCAAAAGCAGGGCCTCTCCTGCATGGCTGGTGAGAATGGAAAAACAGTCCAAACTCTACAGAGAAGTCAGCACTGTGCTGCAAAAGTAAATATGCATTTTCCCTTTGATTGTCAATCCCCAATTTTAGGATTCTTCCTAAACTACACTGACAAAAAATATAGAAAAAAATGCACAAATCTATTTATTGCTTCATGCTTTGTAAAAGCAAAAAGCCAAAAACCTATAAAATGGCCATTTGTAGGAATAAACTAAGGTATATTCACATATATTACAGTGAAGTACTGTCCAACTGTGAAAAGGAGTGAGATGTGTCTCTATGCACCAGCATGGAGAGATCTCCAGGATGTATCATTAAGTGAAACAAAGCAAAACAGAAAAACAAAGTGAAGAAAATAATGTAGAATTTACCTACCATTTCTCTAATAAGAGGAATATGAATTACATATATAAAACATAATATATTTTTTCATATATATGAAAAGGTAATAGGATACTCTGAAAACTAAACCAACAAAACATTATTTACATGAGAATGGGAGAAGCAGGGTAGAGGTGACAGGGACAGAAGCTGGAAACTAGATGTCTTTGTTACACTAAGATTTCATAGCTTTGATCTTGAAATCATGTAGGTAGTTTACATAATTAGACAACAAAAGTTATGTTTTAAGATATTGAAAGCAAATGAAACAAACAAATCTAATTGCATTTTATATGGTGGATAAACCACATAAGAAATTGGTCTAAGTAACTTGAAAATGCAATAATTTCATTGTCCATATCTAGAAGGATTGTACTAAGGCCCCCCCAACCGCCCCCCCAAAAAATTCAAAACCTGAATTAAAAAATTTTTCCAAAAAAATCCTATTTTTAGTGTTTTGTGTGTGTGTGTGTATGTGTGTGTGTGTGTGTGTGTGTGTACTTTTGAAGTCCATTGAAAAGGCATAGAGTTAATGATGAGCCCAGTGACAAAGAGCACCCTTAGTGACCAGAGTGTAGTCTTCAAATGCCATTCATTTCCCACCAAACAATTAGGGTTCTAAGGAGCAAGTATTGATTTTAGGAGTAGGCAGGAAATATCTGAGTTGACAATTTCTCTTGTCAACTAGAAAGCCAGGATGCTCTAAAAAATCTCTAAGAATTTATCAAAAGGACTTATGAGTCAACTTCAAGAGAATCCAACTGGACAAAGATGGGACAATTTGAGTATCAATAATAATTCCAATGAATCAAATGTATCAAATATGTTGAAATCCATGAGTTCATAGAAAGGCCTTCTTCTTTTTTTAAATATATTTTATTGATTTTTTACAGAGAGGAAGGGAGAGGGATAGAGAGTTAGAAACATCGATGAGAGAGAAACATCGATCAGCTGCCTCCTGCACACCCCTTACCAGGGATGTGCCTGCAACCAAAGTACATGCCCTTGACCGGAATCGAACCTGGGACCTTTGAGTCCGCAGGCCGACGCTCTATCCACTGAGCCAAACCGGTCTTCTTTTTTTTTTTTTTTTTTTTTTTTTTTTTTTTATTTTTCGCTTAAAGTATTACAAAGGGTATTACATAAGTGTCCTTTTTTTTCCCCCCCGCCCTTGACACACCCCTACCCTCCCTTACCCCCCAGTGTCTTATGTCCATAACCCCATTGGGAGCCTGCGAGGAAAGCATTTCATTGTTCTGAACATAGACAAAAAAAGGGAAAGGATCAAGCCTTCTGATGGAAGTTGACAGCTGCACCCATGAAGTATTCCCACCAAAAAAAAGTCAAAACTGAATCTGATCAAATGTCTCCTTTAAAATAAATTCACACAAAACACCAGAACTAGACGAGCAGGTGAAATCACACCGTGAGGATGAAATCAACAAAATGTACCTTGCCTAGTTCTGTTGGATGAAAGACTTCCCTTTTCTCACCAGAGAAATTTCCCAGAAAGTAATAGGGAAGGTTGGAAACCTACATATTAAGATAAATTTAAGAGAAATCAAACAATTGCAATTTATGGATCTTATTTGGATCTGACTTCAAACAATTTTTTAAATTATGAGACAATCAGAGAAATCTGTATGCAACTGGCAATTTTCTAAAATTTCTACTTGCTTTTTGAAGCCTGATTATGTTAATATTTTAAATGGTTTCAAATATTTACTGAAATAATGTCTGATGAATGCTTCAAAAAATGTGGGGTGGGTAGGGAGTAGTGAGTACATAAATGAAACAAAATTGGCATCTATTGGTAATCATTGAAGCCTGGTGTAGGTACATGGAAGTTCCTTGTACTAGTCTCTTTATCATTGAATAAGTTAAAAATTTTTCCACAATAAAAATTTTAACCTGTGTAATAAAACCACTATTGAATATTCTCTACTAAGCACCCTGAAAAATGTCTTATACATTATCTCACGTACTGCCCCAAAATGCTAATTTTATTTTTCTAACTTTTAAAATAAGGACATTGATGTGGCTCCAAAATACTTAGACATTTGCCCACGGTCACAGTGCCAACAGTTATCAGGCAGAGAAGGGATCCAATTCAAAGTCTGTCTGACTACCACTTCCCCCCTAACCACTGCACACAACAGCCTCTTCTTAGTTTCTTCTCAGGCCCATGATTCTAAAATCCCATAGAGTGAGAGTTAGATCAAGAGAGGACAGGGAAGGAAGTCCACACTCTTTCCAGAATGGAGAACTGGCAGGAAGCCTGTAACTAGGGAAGTTAAGAGGAGGGTTTCACATACATTGTTCCTCCAGAATAGCCAACCCTCCCCCCACGACACCCCCTCCTCACCTCGCATGTCACACTACTGGGGTCACAGTTTCTACTAAATGATGGGAAGGATTCAGCAACCTGCAGTTTAGATTTCCTCTGCCCTTAGTGATGTGGGCAACCCCTACAGTCATAACTCCCTGGGATCCCGCTTCTTTTTCAGTAAAAAGAGGAGTTAGACAGGGTGTCTCCAAATTGCCTTTGAGCTCTAAAGAC